AAAGAAAAGAAAAGAAAAGAAAAGAAAAGAAAAGAAAAGAAAAGAAAAGAAAAGAAAAGAAAAGAAAAGAAAAGAAAAGAAAAGAAAAGAAAAGACTTAGGAAAAAGAGCTAAAGCTCCTTCAGTCTCTCGGACAAAATATAGGCTTATCTGTATATGCCAATGGTAACTTTTAAGACGAGTCGAGTTGGCAGTCGACAAAACCTTCAATCCAGTGATCAGAAGCAAAAAATACGCTGCTTTGTATAACATGCTAGCAAACAAGTTCAGCTAAAATGACTAGAATAAAAAATAGTCATCTATAAAAGGAAACAGGTTTCTTGGAAGTCATCTCAGAGACTAATAAGTAATATATTTAAATTTGGACAAGCTGTATATTAATATAAATTAATATAATATATTTAAATTCAGGCAAAATAAGTGTAGCCAGATCACTGAGGGCAATTCCTGAGGACTAGTCTTGGCTTAACCACTTGTTCTTGCTCTTCAGCTGTCAGAGTTGTGCTACCTACACTCAAATATTGTGAGATCCTACGCTCCTAAATCTCTTAGACAGGTCTGTGAAATTTCCAATGCCAGGTTTTGAAGGAGAAATGGTTTCTTTCCTATCTATCTGATGCAAAAAGCGTCAGGCTGCTCAATTACGGTTACATGGTTGTGGAAGCGAGCAAAGCCGTGGGATGACGATGATGGAAGTTTAAGCAGAAGCGAGATTATGATTCCAGAAGGAGACACTCAAGTAGAAACGTGTATGGATTGCTGCTTTGATCCAATTGATCTCGTGACTTCCAGGCTAACTTTAAGGACTGGTATCAGCAAGCACCTTTTGGGAGGGCATCAGCTGTGCTCAAAGGGGCACCTTTCTCCCCACGTCAAACCAACTCTTGGGCTGCATCAACACAAACAAATTAAGCAGCAGCAGAGACTGTTGCTTTGGCCTTGGGGCCGGCGAGTAGGACTTGGCACATCCATGCTGTTAAACTGTCTTAGCCTCCAGAAAAGGAGGAGTGAATCCAGCCTCCCTGTTGGTCTGTGGTCTGGGCCAACCCCTGAATCATGACCAGGAATTACTTGGGATTGCCAGGCTGGCATGATATGTGCCAAAACTGTGCAGCTTTCCTTTAATTCGTGACACTTTGTAACAGATTACGGGTCTATATGAGATGTTGTTCTAACACAGACACCTGAAGGAGAGAACTCTCACCCCGGAGGCACCTACATCCCTCACTATCATCAGACTCCAGCAGCTTAACTCAGATATTTGCTACTACATTTTTTCCTCTTTTTGAGGAACAGGTCCAGTTCTTTCAACCTTTCTTCATAGGTTTCCTAAACCTCTTTGCATTTTTATTCCTTTTGTTTGCGCTCTCTCCAGTCCGTCTTCAACTCCATTATATCGTTTTGTCCATACTCTATTTTGTCCACGCTCTCTCTACTCCAGATGAAAATTCCACTTACAGCAATTCTGTTCATGCAGCTTGGAAATAAATGTATTGTTTTAGCAGCAGCAGCCTCATAATATTTGTGGTCTGATGCAATTTTGAGATTATCTTGATGTATTTCTTCAACATGAATGCAATGTTAGCACTTTACGGGCTCCTTGAATTTCCCTAGCATTGTATGATTTATAACTAATCATAATTAGTGGAACAAAATTCTTCTCACCATCTCTTGAGCGCTATCTCCGACAGCCTGTGGTTTCTGCCCTCAATATGATATTCTGCATCAGTTCAGGTACCAGTGGGCTAAAAAGCAGTTAGTTATCCTGACGTTATGCTATCATTTCATTCTATTTCTTTCAAAAGAACTGTAAAAAATGTTCACTGAAAATCTCTGCATCCTTATTAATCATCATTTACCCACCAGCCACCCAATTATCCATCATCATTTGTATGTGACCTTTTAGGATTTCTTTTTATCCATGACATATTTCACTTTTTTTTTCCCCTTTAGTAATGCCAACCAAGAATTTTCTCTGATAACAGTGGATGTCTTTATCTTCTCTTAGGACATACGCAAAATTGTTACTAGCAACTTGAATCTAATATTCTTTTATTCTCCTTTTCTGTTTGTTATTGTTTGCTTACTTTTTATATTTAATTGCTACCTTCTTTTGCTGCTGGCAGGGTAGATTTTCACCCATAGTTATAAAAAGGGTCTTTTATATAAAAAGGGGGTTGCCTTAAGGAATAGTTAGTTTTAGAATTAATTTCTGCTCTTACTTCTTGATTGAAATGGTCTAATTGCCTCGTCTTTCATCCTGAAAGGCTTACTGTTCCGTGACCTTTTCTGGGTAAATTCTGTTTTGGTTATGGGAGAGGCAGGAAGAGAATGAGATAATGAGAACGATACGAAGCATGGAGAATTCTCATAAACAGGAACTGAAAGAGTTGGAGCTGTTGTTGTTGAAGATGAAATAAGAATAAATGTGATTAAATGATGAACAAGAGCATATAGATGAACAACATCTCGAAGGCAGGTCATCAGCTCTTCGCATTTCATATTAGGACAAAAAGGGGACAGTCAAGGAGTTGAAAAGATAGACTGCTAAAATACATATATCACGGATCATTAAGACTGTTAGGACTTCATATATCTCTGAGATGGTGAACTCACCGCTACAGGATGTTATCAGGCACCACACGGAGAAGGGCTGGTCATTTAGCAGGGAGAATATTCGGAGTTTAAGTAGTAAGGATGGCAAAGAGACCCTGGCATGGAAGACAGACCATCCAGGCCTCCCTCTGCGTGTTCATGGACTTTCTTTTACACCTCTGGACATTGTGAAAGAACGAGGTTGCCTCAAGCCCAACAATCTGCTTATCTATGATATTCCATCCATCCCAAGCACACCTTTAATTACATCAAGGGGGTATAGAAGTGTGGAGATGCATTTCTCGTTCCTAACGCAGCGTGTTTATAAATGCCAATGAAGAGAGCTTTGTCCCTTGGCCACGGGGGAAACTACACTGCTCTGAGCAGCCTTTTCTGCTCTTAAAAACACAGGGAAAAAAATAAAAAAGAAGAAGAGAGAGAGAAATCTGTAATTGAATGCAGATGGAGGAACAATCTATATTCCTTCATTGGAAATTAATTGTGTTAGCCTTGCAAGCATATATCTTGAATTAGTTACTATCAGTTAGAGAAGAGGACCTTATATTCTAAACAGCAGAGCAATTAATTTGAAATAAACACAGAAGTAAACAAATAATTCACACTAATTAACATTTGGTCACCGAGAGTGTAGTTGTTACATCCAATAAGTAAAATACAAATAACAAATGCTTAACTGATTGCTTTTCCTCTTTATTCTATTTGCTACCTGCTGCTGGCAGTAACTGGATAAATTCTAGAGTCAATCCTAGAGCTTGAGCTTGTTCACTGCAGAGGGACTGAAGGTCTTTAGCCTGTCTTAGAAAACAGCATATTAACTTTTTCCTATATGGAAGTCACTGTATTTTAGATAACAAGAGAGTAAACGAAAAAAATAATGAGTCTAACTGCAAATCTCTCCTGGATTGGGAAATTCAGGGATTAGCAGCAGAGGTGTTGGAGCCTTTCATAGCAGGACTGAATCCGGCCCAGGCTGAGTGCAGGAAGCTACTTCCAACTTTGCTGTCTTCTGTTTAACATCTGCCATTGCCCTGATTTTCTCTATCAAAGCTATCAATTTGGGGCCTCGGAGGGTCACTATGTTCTGACCTATTGGGGGGCCTCTATCAGGTTCTTTAGTGCTGGTCAGAGCAGTCTGCCCTGCCCGTTGCCATCTTCTTTCTGGTCATGGCTCAACGCAGCTTTCCACTACAGATGTAAGCAAAATCACTGAGATACTGAAAAGGATGCACAAATAAAACATGTTACTTTAGTGGCTGCATCTCCGTTGTTTAAAGAAATATAAAACAACAGCTGAAGCTCAAGCACCTCACCTTTGTGTTTGTTATCTATCTGTAATGTTTAAGAAGAGGCTACAGAGCATGCGGGAGATTTAGCTCATTATTTGAATGAGCTCTGTGAGGCCTCGGTCACGTCAGCAAAGGGTTTCTTCTCTTTCAGAAAAGGTTACGTTCTGACTGGATGTAAGCTGCAAACAAGACAAATTGCCTTTGGACTAGAGGCGAAGAAAATAAAAACATCTCCAAGGTCAAAAGGGCCACGGATTACTGGAAGAGATGAACTGGCCCTCGGCGGGGATGTAGCTCGTTATCCGAATGCACGTGGGCAGCTTTATTGGAGGCACACACACGGGGACACTCCGCTTCCCCAGACGGGAATAACGCTGGAGAAGGTGGTTGAGTCACCTGGAAAAGAGCAGTGTCACCTAAAGGGCGGCTGGCTCCGGAAAGGCAGCGCTGAAGCTCCGGCAACGGGCAGTGTGGTGAGATGTGGAATTTCGGGCGTCAGGGTTGTAGCTCCTGCAGGGCTGGAATGACAACGTGGTGCTCCTGGCTGGCACGGCCGCAGCCGCGAGCAGGCAGGGGTGCTGCCGCCCCTGACTGACCTTCCAGAGAAACAGAGCTGCCAAAAAGAGAAACAGAGGAGAGGGAAAGGGATTCCTGATCAAAGAGCCCAAGGCACAGGTCAAATGTTCTTGAGACTCTAGTCTCCCAATGAGACTGGTCACAAGGACAGTGAATATCGTAGGGAGAATATCAAAATACGCAAAATGAAAATCATAAATAGGAGAGGAATTTGACTCTCTAGATAGGATAAGACTCCATTGGGGGGAAAAAATAATGAAGGATGGCATGACAGTAACTATGAGAAGGAGAAAACATCTTGGTCGGACTATTTGTCACTCCAAGAGGTCTCATGGAGCACCACCCTCTTGGCACAGCCAACATTTTGCCCTATGTTGCTGTGGTGTCATATGGTTTGGAATTTGGAAAACAAAGCAAACAAACAAGAGCATCCCAGCATCCCACCAAACGTCGCTGTCGAGAACCTGGCGTACTTTTTGTGTGTTTGCCGGCTTGTTTTCCCGCGGGAAGCTCCTGCGAGCCCAGCTGAGCGGGAGCTATTTACTGCCATCTAATGGTAAACTGGGAGGAGAAATTCAGACGGACTTCGCTCTTTACACGGGCTGAACGATTTGATTGTAATTAAAATAGGAGCAATAAGCGTTATTTTCATTTTTGCATTTTTTTTTGGTCATAAAAACACATAAACAAATGCAGCATTGCCTGAGCCAGGCTGGGAGCTGCCAGGGGCTCCCGCCGCTGGAACAGACATCTCGGGGAGGGATTTGGTGGCCCGTGGTGACAAGGAGACCCGTGTGGCACTGCGGTCCCTCGGCACCGCGACGCTGAGCGAATGGAGGTGAGGAGAGCAGGGAGTAACGCGGGGTCCCTTCGGAAGCCGCGGGTGCAGGTTAGGGGGGCAGCGGGGCCGGGGCCCGTCGGGCAGCGCCGATGCCGGCAGCGCGGGGCTCGCGGTGCCAGCCCGGCGCCGCTGCACACGGAGCCGCGGGGACGGGAGGCGGCTCTGCCGGGCCCGCACCGCGCTCCGAACAGCGGGGAGGACACGGAGGCGTCCGGCCCGGCCGCCGCCTTCCTCATCCTCCGCC